TAAGATCAAACATTTTATACATTTTTGGGCACCCTGTATGTAGTGTGTCCCAAAAAATGTGTCGAACGTTTTCATAACTCTTTTGTCTAAATAGCTTTTGCAAACACTCAGGAAACATTCTATAGAGCTGTTTGACTTAGATTTCTAATTTGGAGCAAATCATCGACTGCTCTTCACATTGGGATTACGGCATGAACCTTTGAAAATATTTTGTGCCATTTGTAGCGTCTATTGCTTCGAGTAATCACTAAAAAGCTGATTTTGTTACCAGACTGCTTAGCATCGCTGATTCCGTATATGTGATTTTCGCGTCACAAAAATCTTTACCTTCAAAAGGTATGACGGGTGTACCGTGAGAGCGGTTTTCAAATATTAGGTTGATGCAAAATTGATGCATATTCCTTACTCTGAAGCGGCAGAGAATATATAAGAATTTACAAAATACATCATTCGATAAAGCGCGAGCTACCAAAAGTGTCACGTAATTATTACAGAACGGTTACAGAATTTCCATCTGAGAATTTTTCGGGAAGTGTGGAATTTCAATAGTGGGGCAACTGATTCTCAACTACACACTGTGTTGGAGGTTTCTACCGTATCCTACAGTAATAAAGGCTGCCATGTGATTCGTTTTGTAAATCCTGTAACTCTGAGTTAGTGCCAGCCTTACAATAGATACTTGAAGGTCCGCGATTGCTTTTTAAACGAGAAAGTTAGTTGCACTCATCTCTTGGATACACCTTTTTGGGACACCCTTTACATTTTCCCAACATACCGTGCTCGGATCGATCTCGTACGTGCCACCTCTGATCCACTTCACGGAAGGCAGCGGCAGTCCTGTAGCATTGCAGGATACTGTGATCTGTGATCCGGGCAAAACATCGATGTCGGTGCTACCAGCCACTCCATTTTCACCAGTCGAAATTTGGATGTATGGCGCGTTTCCTGTAAGAGTGAGAATTGAGCTTTTGATCGTCTAATAGGAGAGGAGAACAGACCATCTGGCAATGTCTTCATGATGCAAGGTTCGGAAAACACGCTGGGTCCATCGGGATACATGGCACGAATCTTGAACACATAGTCGGTGTCTGGTTGCAGTAAGTTCTGGATTCTGTGCGTCAGCTTATTTGGATCATCGATAACGATTTTCGACCTGGAATTGACCAAATTTGGTTAACCAGTACTAACTTCGCAACTCCTTTTCGAATAAGGTGTCAGATGATTTCTACAGGAAGTCACTGCTCTTAAAACATACCAATCGCTCAGCACCAATTCGTCAGCGTCAACGCTCTTATCACCAGGCACATAGTAAATTTCATATCCAATCGGGTTCTCATCTGTTGTAGTTGGTTTCTTCCACTCCATCACTGCCGATCTCTGACCATCTGGGTCCACTCTCAAGTCTGTTGGCGGGCCTTCTCGAGCTGAAGTATATGCGAAATGATTAAGTTTGCAAATTATTGCTACCGTATCTTACCTCGCGACATAGTGCGAATGGTATATTGATTTGAATATGGGCCAGGTCCATCGTCGTTAATTGCTTGTACCACTACTGCGTAAGCAGTATCTGTCTCGACAAAGTCTTTCAAATCT